GAGTTACACTTTCATTCAGCGCTTCAGCAGGTCTTTAAATCTAAATCACACATTTTAAATGAAAAATGTTTCCTTTTCTTAAAAATGTTTGAGGTTGGACGGGAGGACGGTCCATCTACGGAGGGAAGTTTGAGGACGAGAACTTCGACGTGAGGCACACGGGCCCGGGACTGCTGTCCATGGCCAACCGCGGCAGAGACACCAACAGCTCGCAGTTCTTCATCACCCTCAAGAAAGCAGAACACCTGGACTTCAAGCACGTGGCTTTCGGCTTCGTCAAAGAAGGCATGGATGTGGTGAAGAGAATAGGAGAGCTGGGCGGGAAGGACGGCAAACCCACTAAAGCCATCACCATCTCAGACTGTGGACAGCTCTGAACGTTTGGGAAACTTCTGTTCATGGAGGAAATTATGTTTTGTGTCACTCCTTTTTTCTCTCTCTTCTTCTTGGGGATGACCTACATGAAATGACCATAAATGCATTGACTAAAGGGTTAGTTCACCCAAAAGTTTAAATTCTCTCATCACTCTCCCTCATGTCGTTCCTGACCCGTAAGACCTTCGTTCATCTTCAGAACACGGATGAAGATATTTTTGATGAAATCTGATTGATCTGATCACGTTTCACCCGTTTCATCTGGAGAACTGCAGACGTTAGTTCAGTCGTGAGATTGGACATGTTCCACATCCACCATCAGACGCTGCCTATATAATCACAACATGGCAACAAAACAATGTTGGTGTAAGGAAATGTAAAAGTCAAGCTTCTTCATTAAAGGGTTAGTTCGCCCATTTAAGACATGAAGTTGTATGCAATCCTTCCCAGCACTACAGTGCATACACACTGACCCACTCTGTTGTCAGAGTTCTGACCGCTGGAAGTTTTTCAATGAAGTACTCCCGGTAACATCAGCTTGTTTACCGTACAGTTTAGACATGGGATCATAAAGTTAGTAAAAAGAGCTTACCCGTGGTACTGGTACAGCAAAACTCTTTAAAATCTTTTTTTCCCTTTTCCTCCTTAGTTGGGGATGTAATCATCTTCGCTGAAGTGAGCACACACACCAAAATCCTTTATTCGGGATATTTTAGCTCCCGCAGAGTAGCCGATGGCAACCAGCCAAAGCTGTCTCATAATTATATTAGAAACAGGAAAACGATGGAATCTGAACTTTGATCCCGGCACATCCTCGTCACAGCCTGGGAATTTACAAGTTCGCACCATTGTTAATTTAATACTTTTACCTAGTTGTCAATCAGTTGTGTAAACACTATGGAACAGCTGATCGTAACGTGCGCACTGTTGACATTGCGCTGCGCGGATTGATAGAAATGGATATAAAATAGTGCCGCATTAAAACTGAGTATAAATTTTGACCGGCGTGTTTTTTGTGTGGTAAATTAATCAAGCTTTGAAACGCAAATCTTTTTTTAACATAAAAACGCACAGTTTTGTGGCCCCGGAAAATAACCGGGAGTACCGGGAGTAAAAACTTCCAGCGGTCAGAACTCTGACAACAGAGTGGGTCAGTGTGTATGCACTATAGTGCTGGGAAGGATTGCATACAACTTTATGTCTTAAATGGGCGAACTAACCCTTTAAGCCAAGCGTCACTGGATCATCACAGTGAAGAGTCATTCAGTGCCACTGCCGGACGGATATCCCAGTCCCAAACTACTGTTACTCCCACCTGAAAACCCCTATCTCATTCGCTAATGTGTTCTGTTGTATTTATTTAGTTGTGCTATTGCTTGTAGTTTAATTATTCGTTCTTATTTTAGTACTGAAAGTTTACGCGTCTTTAATAATCTTTGAAATGTGTTTTAGTTAGTAGTTTCATCTGTGGAAACAAAACTGGAATGGAGAAGTGTTCAATTTCACTGGTGTCTGAAATGTGGGGTGTTTTAACTTTATTTACAGAACAAGAATACATTACTGTTTTGTGGTGGGGCCAGTGAACATTTAATTATTGAATACATTGAGTTTAATTGAATTGAAAATAGAAAATGGAATTGAATTGAGATCGATTGAATCAGGAATCTGTATCGATACCCAGCCCTTATTGACAAGCGTTGAAAATCAAGTTTGAATAATTTATCAGTATATTTTTAAATAAAATACATTAGTAATAATAACGGCTATATTATTCTATTGATTGTTATACATTTGCTTTATTTTCCCTTTCATTTCATTCATCTCTTACTTAACATTTTGTATATTATTATCATTCCTCAACGAAAGACCTCGAATTACATCTTTATAATTATACTTCCTAATATATCCTTTTAATGACTTGCCAAAATGAAATAATATAGTAAATAAATAAATAATATAGTGCAACATGTTCATTCATTAATTCATTAAAGTTCACAAATCATTAATTGCCACCTAATAGAGTCATATAGAATCATAGATTTATTTTTTACATTTACGGTATTTATGAAACATATACAAAAACATATGGTATTTAAGTAGGCCTATTAAAATAGACAATACAGAACGTTAATTGTGTAAAGAGATAAATGTGGAAAATAAGATAAATATTATACACAGGTAGGCTACTAAACAAAATCATCAGTAAAGAGATTTGAAAGACGTTGTGGGATGAGATTAATAAAAACATTTGTACATGAAGAGTTCAGATGCAAAAGCCTCTAAATGCCATTTGAAATTTTCTTCTAAAATGACCATTTTTATCAAGCTTGTATATTTAAGTTCAGTGATTTCACTTAAATGACAATTAACAGGTAATCTTCATTGCCATTTAAGTGAAATTACTGAACTTAAATATATAAGCTTGATAAAAATTATCATTTTAGAAGAAAATTTCAAATGGCACTTAGAGGCTTTTGCATCTGAACTCTCCATATACAGTATATACATATTGAAGTTTATCTGTTGATTCAGATATGATAATTTCAGATATGATAATTAGTTTATTCAGCATAAGTCTCTCCTATTAACATACATTGAAATAAGGGTCTCCTTCCCCACACGAGCATAAAGAGGCTAGCCTACAGCGTCTGTGATGCTAATCACCTTTGAGGACAGAGCGCCCCCTGCTGGTGTGTGTTTGCCCCACAGAGAGGAAAGGACAGTCCAGGACAGGAGAGAAACACTTCACCGGTCAGCTTTCGTGTCTCTGATGGACAGGACTATCACTGAGAGAGGTATATCACTCTCCGTCCGCTTTACAGCTTCACCGTATGACAGCCTGACATAATAGCATTGAATTACGTTGAGTATACTATACTCTATGCAATCAAACATATAACATTTTTGTTCTACACTGTAAAAATGAATATACTTTATCTAATCAATACAATTGTGGCAACAGATTACAAGCAATTTATTAAATTGAACAAATTAGAATTGAGTAATAGTTAATCAAATTAACATTCTAATTAATTCTAATTTGTACAATTCGATTAATAATATTGATTGTAATATGTTGCCACAATTTTATTGATTAGATAAAGCATATTATTTTTTCAGTGTATTATTATTAGCAAACATGTTTAAAAATGACATGATATTGTGATAATAACCTGAACACACTTCAGTCAACTGTTCACATGATGTTATGAACCCTACCTTTGGGTCGGGTTATTTATAGGGTTCGTTTATTGTTCATTTATTTCTCTAACACCCATTACTACCTGTAGTAGAATGATATATTTCTTTGATGAAGGACACTGAACTGCATTTGATGCAATTTGAACTGATTTACATGTAATTCAGTTCTTTAGTGTCTAAGGTTTCATATATTGTTGATGCCTTTTAAATGGGTTCAGCGCTCTTCTGACTGGACTTCCATCATGTCCAATCAAACATCTGCAAATGACTGAAACCGCAGAAGAATGACCGGCCACAAAATCCCTGTCAAAGAGATTCATCTGGTAAACATGAATGTATTTGTCTTTATATACAGGAATATCTCGGTCTCCAGCTGGAGTGCTCTTGAAAGCCACCAGAGGGCGCTCCACACCAGAGTATTGTTGTTCCCTCACAAACTAGCCTATATCTCCCATAACTATCTCCCATAACTATCTCCCATAACTCTTCATCCAAGTAGTGTATATTGTTGAACTGCACTTCTGAGCATTCTCCCTGGTTTCATCGTCTCTTGGTTCTTGGATTTTTGCTTGTTTCGTGGATTATCTTTTTTGCCTCTGACCCCTGACTGTTTGTTTGTTTGTGTGTTTTTTTTTTTGTTTGTTTGTTTGGACTGCCTTCCTGTGCTTGACCCTTTGCCTGTGTTTAATTACAGTTCTGTAATCAAACACAGGCAAAGGGTCAGGTTTAGGTCTGGGGTAGGGTTAGGGTTAGACCACTAGGAGGCGCCTTCTGGCCCATATGTATCTGCGTCTCATATTGACGCTAAAGGGTGCCATGTGCGTCGGATTTAGATGTCAAAAGCGTCAGTATATGACACCTTGTCATAAGGACGGAGACATGCGGACACGATAACACTGGCATAAAGTCATAGTTAAGGTCCCAAAGTTGAGTAGCCTGAGTTCAGATTTGGAGAAATGGAGTACACATTAGTGGAAGAACCCATGAAACATTTATTCTATGATTGTGTATTTACACAGTATTTATCGGATTGATATCGAATATCTAATATCAGTCAAAATTAAATAGGCCAATTAAGCTATCTGGTTAAGATATATTATTTAGTATATAAAAATTTAGTTTAGAGCAGAATTTGGTGATTAATTTAATAATGCTGTGTGGAAAACACCATAAACACAAACAAAAATAGACAAACAATAAACCTACCATCATATAATTTAAAACTGAACCAAGGCATTATATTTAAAGATGCAAGAAACAAGACTTTCTCTTGTTAATTCTCTTAGTTATTCTCTTACTTATGTCTTGTATGTTCCCATTGAGCTATTATTGTAACTGTCATTATATTGTGATTATACATGTTATGTAAATGTAATTTTAAAAAGTTGAGTATCCTGCTTCTGTCCTTTAGGTGGAGACTCGATCGGGTGAAGAGATAGACAAAAGACTGGCTCATGTTTCTGTGGTTATTATAAAAAGAAGAAGGGAACGCGGTTCACTAAATGAACTAGTATGATCTGTTGTTCATCTTTATTGATCGGGATTGTCCGCGCTCGCCCCCGCGCCCGCGCGCGCGCCCGGTAGAGCAGTTCTCGGCGAGCTCTTCCTCCTCCTCCTCCTCTCTCCCGCAGATCCTCCAGAGATGAGGTCCTGAACACCAGTTCCTCCAGTGAACACCTCAGCTCCTGCTCCTGCACAGGTACACAGCCTTATTATCACCTGCTCATTAGATTACAGGGCACTGCTACTTGTTGCTTCTTGTTGTTTCGTTTAAAATGGAATTGTTTTTCTAATAAAAGAAAGCAAGTTGCATTTAGATGCAAAGATTAAATAATGGTATTGATTACATTAAAGTGTTATGACAGCTCAAAAAAACATTATGTAGACGCATAAATAGATAATTCAATTATTTTTAATATCCAGCGTGTATTATGTAGCGTATTTCTTTATGCGTTTGTTGATCTAGACAGTTAAACATCAACCTGATTTAAACAGCATTCATCTTTAACTGTTTATGTACAGTCAAACCAAACATTATTCAGACACCAGATATAATTTATGTTTTCACTAGTGTTTGCTGGACACTATAGTTCATTTATGTAAATGAGGAGAGCAAAATAAAGTAAACTGGTATTATCTAATTGTGTAGTTAAATTTACCAGCTGACAGATATTCAACATAATTCATGTGTGAGAGTCCAACAGAAGGACGGACAAAACCAGTCAAATATCCACTGATCTGAGACCTGAGCTCATGTTTATCACCATTCTCGAAACTATAGCGAATAGACTGATAATGTGAGAGAAATGTTGAAGACTCTTTCTGATTAGTACTGGTGTGTGTGTGTGTTTGTGTGCAGGAGTGAACGATGGCCATCCATGTGGACGGGCTGCTGGCCATCATCCTCTTCTATCTGCTGATCCTGGCGGTCGGGATCTGGGCGGCGTGGAAGAACAAGAACTCCGGGATCTCGGCGGGAACGGACCGCAGCGAGTCCATCATGGTCGGAGGAAGAGACATCGGCCTGTTCGTGGGAGGATTCACCATGACCGGTGAGGCTTCCTCTCCTTAGGTCTGACCTTTCACCTTTCACTCAAACATCTTCATCACTCTACAGCTGTTATAGAGCTGAACACTGTACGATGTAACCGATGTAAGTCAGATTTAGTAAACCCATTGCCCTAAAATGATAAATAAACTTCCCTTTCAAGGGAACTTCGAGCTGCGTCGAACGCTGTGGGAACGCCCCTGCGTTGTGCGTCATGAAGCACGTATGGAATCAGACCAATGAAGAGAAGGCACCCCAAAAACACAAGCGCATCAGCTTCTGTGCCTTCAGTCGTGCTATATGTGAATCTGTCCCTGTGTGAATATTGTCTGTCTTCATATAATACATTTATATATTTATATTTGAGAGAGATTATGGTGAACGAATAGCAACTTAAGAAGTGTGTTCCTAACGAGGACTCACACTCCACCACCTGTGAGTTAGAAGTTCACGTCCCTGGGGCTGCTGGGTGGGAGCAGTGCCGGCCGTCTACCAGCTTTCCGACCGAGGAGAAAAGGTGTCCATTCTTCCTGCCCTCTGGGGCCCGTTCTGCCAACCCCGCCTTCATGCTGGGGCGCAGACGGTCCCAGTGAGCGCTTTCCCGAGGGAGGAGAGAGGAGGGTCTCAGAGCAGTTGAACCAGTCGTTCCCTGCCGGTGTGCCGTTACAGGGCGCTGCGTTTGCTGCTCAAGTTACACCAGAGGCCAGTCTCGAGAGACCCTTAGTAGAATTTCTGGCAGAGTGGAAAAGCCTTCCAAAAATATCTCAGTGGGTCCTGCAGACAGTAGAAAATGGTTGTGCTATCCAATTCGGGTGTCGTCCACCAAAATTCAGAGGGGTCCTGCCCACAGTGGTGAGCCCCGAGCAGGCTCTGGTAATGGAACAAGAGGTGAAAACGCTCCTTCAAAAGGAGGCTATAGAACGGGTTCCTCCTTCCAGCTTGGAGTCAGGTTATTACAGCCGATATTTCATCGTTCTAAGGAAGGATGGGGGTTGTGTCCAATTTTAGACCTGCGCATTTTGAATGGCTCGGTAGGGAAGCTAAAATTCAAGATGTTCACTATCAAGCTGATTGTGTCACAAATCAGACCCGAGGACTGGTTTGTCACGATAGATCTAAATGACATGTACTTCCACATTTCCATCCTTCCACAACACAGGAAGTTCTTGAGGTTTGCCTTCGGGGGCGAGGCGTACCAGTTCAGGGTTCTTGCGTTCAGTCTAGCTTTATCTCCCTGCACTTTCACGAAATGCATGGATGCAGCACTAGTGCCTCTGAGGCTTCAGGGCATTCGTATCCTCAATTACATCGACGATTGGCTGATTTTAGCTCAGACGGATGGCGGTTCGGCATCAAAATGTTGTTCTCGCTCATATCAGAAAGTTGGGGTTGAGGCTGAACGCAAAGAAAAGTGTTTTATCTTCTTCTCAGAAGACCACTTTTTTGGGTGTTGTTTGGGATTCGGTTTCAATGTGGGCGTGACTTCAACCTGCATCGCTTTGATTCTCTCAGCTGTGAAACAAGTAAAGCTAGGCCAGCTACTGACTGTGAAGCAGTTTCAGAGACTGTTGTGTCTGATGACAGCAGCGTCAATCGTTATACCTTGTGGCCTGTTGTACATGAGACCGCTGCGGCGGTGGCTCAGGACCAGGGGATTCTCCCCGAGGGGAAATCCGCTCCACATGATCAAAGTCACGCGGCGCTGCCTTCGTGCTCTGGTCATGTGGAAAGAAACTTGGTTCCTATCCAAAGGTCCTGTGCTGGGGGCTCTTTTTTGTCACATAATGCTAACGACGGATGCTTCCCTCACAGGGTGGGGGCGGTCATTAGTGGTCGTCCAGCCCAAGGTCTGTGGCAGGACCATCATCAATCATGGCAAATAAATTGTCTAGAGATGTTGCTGGTGTTTCAGGTTCTGAAACACTTCCTAGCAGACCTGAGAGGTCATCGTGTGTTAGTTCAGTCAGACAACACATTGGTGGTCTCTGGTTGGAGGGCCTGCGGTCTCGCCGGCCTTACAAGTTTGCCCATCAGATCCTCCTGTGGTCCCAAAGGAAGTTATTATCACTGAGAGCAATGTATCTTCCTGGGTATTTGAATGTGGTAGCGGACTCCCTGTCGAGGCAGGGGCCGAGGCCGGGGGAATGGAGTGGTGGAGCTCCTTTGGTTGAGTTTCGGTCACGCCGAGGTGGACCTATTCGCTTCCAAGGAGACCACGCACTGTTGTCTGTGGTTTTCCATCAGTCATCTAGCCCCCCTGGTGTTGGATGCTATGGTGCAGTTGTGGCTGAGGTCACGTCTGTACACTTTTCCCCCGATTGCTCTGCTACCAGGAGTTCTGGAGAGGGTTCACCAGGATGGGGTCAGCCTACTATTAGTAACCGGCCGGCCCGGTTCTGGCCGGCCCGAGTATTTTTCGCGGACCTGATTTCTCTCCTGGACGGCTCTCCCTTGGAGCTCAGGAGGGATCTACTCTCTCAGGCAGGCAGCACGATATTTAACCCCCGCCCAGAATTGTGGAAACTGTGGGATTGCCCTCTGAGGGTGCCCAGCTTTTAGATTCCGGTCTCTCAACCGAGGTTGTTGAGACCATTCTTCACTCCAGAGCTATATCCACGAGGAAGCTATATGCCTTGAAGTGTAAACTTTTCAAATGGAGAACACTTGCAGGACCCAGTTAACTGCCCAGCGGGTGCAGTGCTGGAATTCCAGCAGGAGCATTTCTTCACAGGGTTATCCCCCTACTAAAGATGTATGTGGCGGCACTAGCTGCTTATCACGTCCCTTTCAGTGGAGTTTCTCTTGGGAGACACCTGCTTATAACTCGTTTCCTTCGCGGCACTTTGAGGCTGAGGCCAGCAGTTCGTACGAGGGTGCCGACCTGGGATCTGGCCATTGTATTAGAAGGTCTTTCCCTAGCTCTTTTCAAACCTATCGAAGAAGTTCCTGAGAAGTTTCTCACTTTTGAAACTATCCTTCTACTTGCTATCTCCTCACTTAAGAGAATCAGAGATTTGCAGGCTCTGTCGGTTGCACCCTCGTGCCTGGAATTTTTCGCCCCTGGAATGGTTAAGGCTTTTTTGTACATTCCCAAGGTCCCTACTAATGTTGTTAGACCTACAGTACTGCAGGCCTTCTGTCCTCCTCCATTTCTGTCGTTAGACCAGGAGAAACTTATTTTTCTCTGCCCAGTAAGGGCGTTAGACGCTTATGTCCACAGAGCTGCCCTGTGGAGGAAATAAGCCACCCAGGAAAGGGTGTCCCGCATCTAAACAAAGAACGAGCAAGTGGGTGGTCGATGATATCTCACTTGCTTGTGAGTCGGCTGGTCAGCCTTCTACTAGGAGTATGGCTGCTTCCAAAGCTTTATTGTCAGGAGTATCTCTGAGTGATGTTTGCGATGCGGCTGGATGGTCTTCACCGCATACGTTTATTAAGTTCTATGACCTAGACTTAAGCTCTACCCCTGGGGAGCAGGTCCTCTGTGCGCTAGTTCTCACATGACAGTCACTTGGTCCTATGGCGACGTGGGTATTCGCGTTCCCACAACACTCCTTGTGGGCCAGGGGGGAGTCAGTTTTCTGCTAGTTTCTCAAATTTACATACACTGTCTTTAATCGTTTAGATAATTTACTTAATCATTTTAAGGCAATGGGTAAAATACATATTTTTTAAGTAAGGGAACTGAGCACTTTTTACAGTGAATTTTCCTGCGAATATGATGATGGTGTGTTTTACACAATAATACAGAAACAGGACTGAGATACAAAACTGATGTTTTTACGATTTACGACATCATGCACAATGTTGGGTAATGAAAAGGAAGTTATTGAATTAGTGATTTGTTTTGAAACAAATTGGTTCTTATTTGAATCTTTTGTTTTAAAGGGGTTCATTTTTTCTTCTTAGAAATTGTAATTAAAGCCTTAATGGCCACCATAATGCATTATATCTGTTCATAAATAATTCTGACCAAAGGTAAAATGTATTGCACATAAAATGCAGTGCACATTCTGAAATTGGTTGTTTGTTGTGTTTTAATGCCTTATATTTTCTAAAAGTGTAACAGTGATTGGATGAGTATTATAATTGTGGTTATAGTTCAGTGCATTATAAGCTGCAGAATTACTGCATTACATAAAGGCTTTAAGTACGGTGTTACTGAAATAGTTCATTATTCTTTCTTTCTTTCTCCTAAATATGCTAATTAGAACTGAAAGTATTAAAGAAAGTCATTAACTTGTTCTGTTTGGTTAATTGGCATATTAAAAATGAATGAAATAATCAAGGAATATTTATAGTGTGTGTAGAGTTATAGTGTGTAGAGCTGCTGAATAACACACACACTCACTGACTGACAGTGTAAATGTGTGTGTGTTGAATATTGTGTCAGTGTGTGTTGATGACCGTGTGTGTTGATGACGTGCCTCTGTCTGCAGCCACATGGGTGGGCGGCGGCTACATCAACGGGACGGCGGAGTCAGTGTATCTGCCCGGCTCCGGCTTGGCTTGGGCTCAGGCTCCGTTCGGATACGCGCTCAGTCTGGTCGTGGGTGAGACACCTTTACACTGATCACTCCATCATAATTCATGCATTTAAAAGTGTATTTCAGCACCTCACTGTAATGAAACGAGAGGATTGTGTCTGTGAGCTTTGAGCTGAGATACAAGCTTCTGTAAAACACTCAAGAATTAATCTTGTCAGGCCAGTTTTCAGAGCCACTCTCCAGCATATGAGCTCTGGTACTGGTCATGAGCTGCTCTCTCTCTCTCTCTCAGGCGGGCTGTTCTTCGCCAAGCCCATGCGCTCTCGAGGATACGTGACCATGCTGGACCCGTTCCAGCAGCTGTACGGGAAGAGGATGGGCGGCCTGCTCTTCATCCCTGCGTTACTGGGAGAGATGTTCTGGTCAGCGGCCATCCTGTCAGCGCTGGGTGAGCACACACACACACACACACAGGTGAAGCTCCAGCCTCCATCAGTCTTCAGTGTGTCTCGTCCTCTGCACAGGGGCGACGCTCAGCGTGATCGTGGACATCAACATCAACGTGTCTGTGGTGATCTCGGCGCTGATCGCGATCTTCTACACGCTGGTCGGAGGACTGTACTCTGTGGCCTACACTGATGTCGTCCAGCTCTTCTGCATCTTTCTGGGTTTGGTGAGTGTTCTCTACAAACTTATAAGACAGAAAATACAAGTTATGTATAAAACCCTAGTTCCCCGAAGAGGGAACGAAGCGCTTCATCGTAGCGCTGGGGGAACGCCCCTGTGTGATTGCGTCATGAAGCACGTATGGAATCAGTCCAGTGGTGTGACGAGACGTCAATGGCGGGTGAAAACCAAGAAACTTTATAAAACGGTTAGTTCGAATCCTTGATTCTGATTGGTCAAGAGCTGTGCTTTATTCACGATAAAACACGGCTACGACCGCTTCACCCAACGGCTCTATTGATCGCTGCGCAACACTGCGGTTTTATGTTGTTTTTATTTGAGCTTTCATGTGTTTTACACATTGGAGCGTTGTTGCTGTTCACGATCAGGGACTATTTTTTCTAGCGGAAAGACGGCTTTTAGTGATTTTACTTCAAGAAAGTTGAACTAATACATTGTTTTTTACTTTAATATTGTGTGGCAACCGTTTTATAAAAGCAATAACGTACTCGAGGCAAGTGCTGTATGGTGAATAAGTAACGGGGTTACTTTGCGTCGTGCCTAACAACGCCTTTCAGCCGTTACTTATTCACCATACAGCACAGCCTCTCGTACCTTATCGCTTACTTATAAAACGGTTAGTTCGAATCCTTGATTCTGATTGGTCAAGAGCTGTGCTTTATTCACGATAAAACACGGCTACGACCGCTTCACCCAACAGCTCTATTGATCGCTGCGCAACACTGCGGTTCTGTGCTGTTTTTATTTGAGCTTTCATGCGTTTTACACATTGGAGCGTTGTTGCTGTTCACGATCAGGGACTATTTTTTCTAGTGAAAAGATGGCTTTTAGTGATTTTACTTCAAGAAAGTTGAACTAATACATTGTTTTTTACTTTAATATTGTGTGGCAACCGTTTTATAAAAGCAATAACGTACTCGAGGCCAGTGCTGTATCGTGAATAAGTAACGGGGTTACTTTGCGTCGTGCCTAACAACGCCTTTCAGCCGTTACTTATTCACCATACAGCACAGCCTCTCGTACCTTATCGCTTACATAAAGCACACCTGAACCCAACAGCGTCTATCATAGCTGGCCATCTTATTTGCTCAAGATGATTCCTGAATGTTTTCATTTTCTGTGGTTATCACCAGTTTTTATTAATAATTTATCTTTTCTAAATGCAACTAAATTTCAAAGTTTCTTACATCAGCAAAACAGCTGAACAAACATGACTTTACCGTGCAACTATTAATTCAGCTTGTGCTTTTTGTTTTTTTACATAAAAAAATAATAGAGCAACTGGGCGGATGGGTTTGTTATTAGAGTATGAAATGACTCATGGCATCTTTAATAAGCCACAGTATTGATGTTGGTGATCATTGAGAGAGTGATATTCCTGATTGTGAGTGAATGTGTGTATCCAGTGGATCAGCGTGCCGTTCGCTCTGTCCAATCCTGCCGTGTCGGACATCGGAGTGACCGCCGTCACCGCAGTGTTTCAGCCTCCGTGGCTGGGGGAGATCGACCCGTCCGACGGCTGGATATGGGCCGATAACTTCTGCCTTCTCGTGAGTCTGTGCGCTAACACACGCATACACTCACTGGCATCTTCCTGCATTGATCACTGATAGTGCTGATCATATCCCGTAGTCTATTGGTATCTGTGTGTAGGGTTAGTGGAGTCCGGCTGATCGATGACGACCCGATCCTGCTGCTGTTTTAGTGTGTGTGTGTGTGTGTGTGTGTGCAGATGCTGGGCGGGATCCCGTGGCAGGTGTATTTCCAGCGGGTCCTCTCGGCCTCCTCTGCGAGTTATGCTCAAGTCCTGTCGTTCCTGGCCGCTTTCGGCTGCCTCGTCATGGCCATCCCGTCCGTCCTGATCGGGGCCATCGGGGCCTCCACAGGTGAAACCTTCCCTCGCTCTCTTCAGTCCAACACGGGAGTGCCTTAAACTGCAGTTCCTCCACTGGCCACTAGAAGAGACTCAGTCCCATGAACCCGCATGTTAAAATGCCCAACTTTACTGCAGAAAAAACGTGTTTAGAGCCTGGCGCAAAAAGTGGTTTTGGTCTATAGGGGGAGGAGGGGGGGGGACTATGCCGGAGCCTCTACGCTATAGAGTATGTTGTCCGCATTTACATGTGTCGAGGGAGTGTGTGAAACCTGAGGGAGCGGTTCTGATAGGCCAATCACAGCACTTGCGTCCACGTAAAATTGCCGTGTTGCCACATTTTTCGAGAGGTGCGCGTTAGTGTGCGCATCAGCCCATGACGTAGCTCCCGCGGGAGGTCGACACAGAAGTATAAATTGGGCTTTAGCATCACATCACCTCAGCTAATCTCGCCTCTTTGCCAGTTTTCGTTTATCCAGGATTGGCGCGCTGCCAAGATGGCGACGCTGCTCATTTGGGCTTTAAAAGCGCTCCTCAGAAACACACGGGTGACGTCACACACACACACACTCCGCGCAGTGCTGTGCACAGTCTCGGCAGACAGGTGTCCACGCAGCAGATCTGAGATCAGCCGTTGGCGGGCTGCTGGTTCCAGATGCTGCTGTCAGGAACGATCCAGGAGTTTCTCTGAATCTACAGAGACTTCATTACTGCTGTTGATCGCAGAGTCTCAGTTAATCAGCAGATGTTCACTGAATTCACTAAAGGCATTACGTCTTGTACAGATAAATGAGGCATAGCATGTTTATTTTCTACTGTAGATTCTATTGCATACAGTAAAGTAGTTCACTTCAGAATTGAACGTGTGTTCCGGGTCAGAAATGTAGAGTAGAATGTAAATCTCCAACTCATTTTCTCCTCATACTTCAAAATCATCTGACATCGTAGTTTTACCTTCCATTTATCTACCTTTTTTGTAAATGATGTTTGAATCAGTCTTACACGTTTGCTCTGTAAACACTGGGTCGGTTCTTACGCCTAAGTCCCGCTTGACCTTTCACCCTGATCACGTAATGTGTGACGCATTACAGCTCGTGCAAGACCAGCATTAGTGGATAGAAGTATATAATGTTTATTTCTTCATAAAATGTCCACTGGTTTGTCTAGATCAGACTCTTATTCCTCGGCTGGATCGTGTTGAGACTTTAAAGCTGAAACTCACTTTGGATCAACTTCAGTTGTGTTAAACTTATAAATAGAACTTGACTTGACTCTCCTTCTGCTGTGTGTGATCAGACTGGAACCAGACGTCGTACGGGCCGGTTCCCCCGGTGGAGAGGGACGAGTCGGACATGATTCTGCCCATCGTGCTCCAGCACCTCTGCCCGCCCGCCGTCTCGTTCCTGGGTCTGGGCGCCGTCTCCGCCGCCGTCATGTCCTCCGCCGACTCCTCCATCCTCTCCGCCAGCTCCATGTTCGCCCGCAACATCTACCAGCTCGCCTTCCGGCAGTCCGTGAGTCCACTCATGTCCACTTACGGGTCTCATTCAGTCTTACGCCCTTACTGTGCAAGCAATGTTAAACTAAACAGAAATGTATTCTGTATATGTAAAGATTATTGCTCTCTGACGTTGCAGGAAGTGTCACAACATGAAATGTAACAAACAGAACCTTTTATAATGACTGCATTTTTATAACCGTTTTGGTCACATTTGGTCGGGGAAAAAATAGTTAGCTATTTTTATTATTATTTGCGGTCAAATCGGTGTCACCTTGAGCAAATTAATTGCATTCCTGCTTTAAAACGAGCGTTCGTAAATATTTCAAATATAAGTTGCACTCAATAAGCAAAGAACGTCATGTCATAAATGATACGAAACCTGTCGGAAACCCAGCAATGGCGATGATTAGCTTTTGTTCCATTTTCTCGTAACGAATGTTTTACATCGTATGTTTCTCCGGAATCAGCCAGCGCGAAGGACGTCTATATTCCGATTGGTTGCTGGCGTTTTGCCGCTGAACCGCGTCACAGCTCATTACCATAAAGTTGAGCATCGTTCAACATTCCGCCCAAACGTGACACCGATGGATTTGACGCTCAAGAAAAGCAGTTTCCATTGAAAATGAATGACTTCCGGACGCTTTGGAAGCTCAAGTCGACGGCGGTGTGAACGTACGGTTAGTCATTTATCAGTTGCGTCTTGCTTCGCCTTGTTGACTAGTTTCAGTTCTCTCAGTATAAAGTCTTCTCTACTGACTGACTCACTTAGAAAGACATCTACAGGAGAAATAATGCTCTGTTGCTGTTCACGGTCAGGGTGGGACTATTTTTTCCAGTGGAAGGAAGGCTTTTAGTGATTTTACTTGATGAAAGTTGCATTGATACATATTTTTGGCTTTAATATTTGTATTTGGGATTGACCATTTTATATAAAGCAGTAAGGTACTCGAGACTGTGGTGTACAGTGAATAACTCACGGCTGACTCGTGTACCTTATTGCTTACGGATAATGAGTCGTTGCCGACGGGTCCGCCCTGACGTCGTGTCGTGTGTGTGTGTCTCCGGCAGGCGTCGGACCGAGAGATCGTGTGGGTGATGCGGATCACCATCTTTGTGTTCGGAGCGCTGGCCACGGCCATGGCCCTGCTGACGGGCTCGGTGTACGGCCTGTGGTACCTGAGCTCGGACCTGGTGTACGTCATCATCTTCCCTCAGCTGCTCTGCGTGCTGTTCGTCAAGGGCACCAACACCTACGGCTCGGTGGCGGGGTACGTGTTCGGGCTCCTGCTGCGGGTCGGCGGCGGCGAGCCGTACCTCAGGCTGCCTCCCTTCATCTACTATCCCGGCTGGCGGCCACGGGAGAAGCAGCACCGCCTGACGCTGGAGGTGGAGCGCTACGTGGAGCAGAGGTTCCCCTACAAGGCCGTCTCCATGCTCGCCTCGCTCCTGAGCAACGCCGCCTTCTCCTACCTGGCCAAATACCTGTTCGAAAGCGGCGCTCTCTCGCCCAAGTACGACTTCCTGGACGCAGTGCTTTCCAAACACAGCAAGGAGACGATGGACAAGACGACGCTGGTCACGCACGACAACATCGTCCTGTCGGAGCTGGCCGCGGTGAAGCCCAGGCACGGGAGCTCTCTGGCGGGAACGTTCGTGAACACAGACGCGCTGACGGACGAGGACACGGTCAGCCCCGACGCCGACGCCCAGCGGAGACACCGTTGAAGACGACTCAAGAGGGAACACTGGTTGAACTAGTGGGACTTTACCGTAATGTGACGTGACCTTGTGATGGTATATCTGAAACAAGCTTACGTTTATTCACTTTTTTACAACTGTTATAGAACAACACGCTTTCAATCGCGTCGGCTACTGTATATGATCTAGATCCTCATGTGTCGTATCAGCATACAGGGAAAGCAATCAGTGTCTGTCAAGCTCCAAAGATGATAGAAAAGTGTCCTATTCCAATATTAGCTGTCTTAGTCTGCTTTTGGAGATATTCCCCTTCATGAAGTGTTTAATACACATCCTCAAAGTTTCAAAGATAAAAACAGTTTTCATCTCCTAAAAGAAAAAAGTGATTCTGACCTGAAACGAGTCGTCTCACTTCCTGCTGGACCTGTAGATGTGTACTTCATTTGCATAATGCCAGCCTGTGGTGTTGATTGGCTGAACAGTGTCTCTTAGCTCCGCCCTCAGACACTGTATCTGAGACGGGGAGAGTTTGGCTCGTGTTGTTCGTGTCGAGGAGACGCTGTTCTCTGAGATCGATACGGTGAAACCCACGCCATCGTCACTGTTCGCATCACTGTGATCAAGAGCTGAGATTCAGATATGATAATGAGCGTTTGCTTTCTGACCAATCACAGCTGAGCAGCTCTCAGAGAGGCGGGGCTTAGAGAGACTGAATCTTCAAACGAAGCGTTTCAGACACTGAGAGAAGTAAAGTCTTGGAGGAAACTCTGAGGCCTTTACAGTAGCATAATAGGGCAGTTGATCCACTTTAATTATTTATTATTATCTTTTTAAAGTCACTATTCACTGTCAAATGTCATCCATATTCAAGCTTGCTGCAGAAAGATATTGCAAGACTTTACTACTAGTCTTGTTTTTGACATTTTTGGAGCTTAACAGCGTCTGTCCCTGCGAACTTTCATTAAAAGAGTTGAGCATTGTGTCATGAAACAGCTGGACTTGAGGGTGAGGAAATGATGACAGCATTTTTTAAATATTCCTAAAACGTTGGGTATGTATTATTGATATTTGTCCTCAGTTGTTTTGGCTGTTGGTCATAAGATGCAGGTCGTGTGTGTGTGAATTTCCTCATTACTTCCATGGCAGGAGCAACAGCACCACCTCATTGCTGAGAAATATGTAGCTGATAAAAGTCACAGTGGCAGTTTATGTGTGTGTGTGTGTGTGTGTGTGTGTGTGTGTGTGTGTGTGTGTGTGTGTGTGTGTGTGTGTGTGTGTGTGTGTGTGTGTGTGTGTGTGTGTGTGTGGATGGGTTGTCTCGCTGAGTTTGATGTAGTCTCCAGTGTTGCTGATCTGGATTTCCTGTATGAATATTAGAGAATGATGGATTAGTAAACTTGGATCTACACTAAAACATGTTTGGGAATTAAGACTGGCTCAGGTGATTCGTTTCAATAAACCTGAAGGCAATGTCAGCCCAGTAACACATAGCTAGGTTAAATATGACTATATATAATATATTTTGTGTGAATTCAATCAGCAATCCCGTCATATAGGCCATTGCTCTTTGGTTGGGATAGATGTTTAATATATTTGGCTGTGATATGTAGAAACTGAGCACGTTGGCATACACTGTGTGTGTGTGTGTGTGTGTGTGGCCTGGCCCTTCAGTTTAATGCTTCAGCAGGACATGCGTCAGTGTCAAGCAATGGTCGTCCCACAGGTCTGCTTCCGACGCACTGATAACTCTACAGAGGGATTGCAGGGCGGCGATAGACTAATGTTCAATTACCCAGACTCCTTTGCATTTGCATTAGGGTTCACGTGTTAGGCCGAGGGGAGTTTTCTGGGGTTTTGTTGTCCAAATTTCTTCTTGTTTTGGCGAGTACAGTGTGTTCCCGGCTGGTCCTCGAGCTCTCTGCTGTATGGAGGCTTGCGTCATTCATCCTGTGAACTCGTGACAGCATTTAAAAACACTTACATGTGTGTAATAATGTGTGTAAAAATTCACCCTGAGGTAAAGAGGTCATTCTCGCTCGTAAGAGAGTATACATACAAGATAACAATAGCAGAGTTGATAGAAACATGCAACGCAAAAAACAACAACATGCACATCAAATGTGAAACAAACAATATATGGACTTGTTTCAGCTCTTTCTGTAATGTCTAATCAATGTTCTTATCAGACACTGTAAAATAATATCGTTGAGTCTTCGTTTAGGGCTGAACTCAATGGCACATCAATATAATTGATTCTACTTAAGTCAATATATTGACTACTTTAGAAAATAGAAATAGAGTATTTTGTCCTTTGGATGGTGTTGTGGTGTGTTGACGTCTTTATTTGGACACCATGCGTCTGTATCTGTGTGTAATATTCTGGAGATGATATCAATCACAGCTTTAGGGAATATGAGTGAAGGAGAAAAGGTGTTTTAATGAAAATGCTGTTTGTCTCTTTATAGTCTTTATAGTACATGGTGTTTAAATCCTACAAATTTAATTTAATCTTCACACTACAACATCACTGAATGAACAACAGTTCCTTTTGTGTTCAATAATTTAATTACATGTAAGATTCTGGCACATGTATGAATGAAAGGCTAAGAGGATAAACAGCACTGCGTGTGTGTATGTACAAGTATGAGATATTTGCAGGACGGCTGCGTACGAAGGAAATATGATTTGTGTGACCTAAGTGTTTGGGCTTGTATTAATGTGTTTATCTGTTGTTGTAAAGTGTATATTAGTGTGGTCGATGTACACGTATCAAGCACAGCCGCCTCAGGACACCAGATCACAAGTGTCATTTTTAAACCGTTCAGGAGGAAATATTTATTTATTTATGTAATAGTGCGATGAATATGTCAGCTATAGGAATTAAATTACATTGTTTGGCATTACTGGCTTTGTGTGTTTTTTGATGATGAAACTAACAGATGAAAGACTGGGGTGAGATTCCCAAAGCATCGTTAGCCAACTGTGATCGTTAGCTCCGTCACTACCAGCAAACACACCAGTAACTGCTCAGATGTCCCAGTAAACCCAAGCGGACGGGTTTGGGCATCAGGACATCCGCTCGGACGGACCGTGTCACGGCGGCTCTCAGGTGAGTTTAGCTTGGTTTTCCTCTGTTTGCATTGGTTTCTATGATTGTTTGATTAATTGGCTACACCTGTTTCTTGTTTCTGATTATCTTTTGATTTTAAGTGTTCTTGTCTGATTTAGTTACAGTCCAGATATTTTAAGGCAGGAAGAAATCTTAAGGAATGGGGGAAAACTTTAAATATATTATTTTGGTGATCAAAGATGAATTTTAAGGGATAAAATGATTGCCTACAGGGGGACTTTAAGGGAAAGAAGACGATATGTGCATTTTAGTTCATTTGAGTGTGAAACTGGTATCAGAATATGAGAGCTCTGTTTCTCGTCTCTTCTTCACTGATAATGTCCATCTGTTCCCAAAGCACTTCTCCTCTGTAGCGTTAGCACACTCTATATCTCGGTCCATCACACACACACACACACACACACACACAGTCTCCAGTTCAGCCATACGGAAACTGGAGCTGAAACTCTACACGGTCCACGAGTGGAAGACACTTCTGGAGGCGTTGATGAAAGGCTATTAAACCTTATTGAGTACAGCAGACAACAACAAAACTAGCGCTATTGATCCAATCCCGAAGTCCTGAAACTGCGCTGCATCTGTCCTCGTCTGCACACACACACACACACACACACACACTGCTGGTTTCCTCATGATGGATGCCGTTCCCTCTGCGCTGATGAAAGATGGGTCTGTCCTATCGGCTCAACTTTGAGAGTTTAGCAACAATTTTACAACACCAGTCATCATCTGGACGTTACACCGATGGCTAATTACCAGAATAGATGTGTTCAATAGAGCACTATCACGGTCGCTTGTTTTCAACATGATATATTGTGAGATTTTGTCTTCCAGCTGTATAGCATGTAGACGGTAGCATTATGTTTACACGTCTCCTCCCGAGGAGCAAAAGGCTTTAAGAGCAGAAGTCTTTAATGTAAAAGCGCTGACCCAGAACGACTGCTGCTTGTTTTAAAGCCGAGGTGGAGCTGAAGGAGAAGCACATGTGCTGAAACGCTTCAGATGTTTGCGGATGAAAGCCTGGAGTGCGGAAAGGGCCGGTGGCGTTCGGACTGAGTGCTCGACTGAATGCTGACGTTACAGCGGAGGACACTGCTAATACTACAGCATTATAGCCTTTCTTCACTGGCATCAACCACACATTTCACTGTGTTTCAATGAACCCGGTCAGACTCTCTCTGTGCTGCTCAGATTGATCACTGAGGTTAAAACACAATCTTCTGTGTCTGTCATGCCTCATTAAACGCAGGTTTGCACTGTACGGTCTATAATCCGGGTAAAGTGAGTCGTTCGTGTATTCCTGATCGGCTGCACGACGTGAGTTTTTAAGTGCCATCATTGCAAAAGAACCAATAGTCCCTGTTATTTCAAATCAGGGTAATAATGAATACGCGTTCTCTGCAGTGACACACACACACGCACACACACAGATGTTTTACATCACAGTTGGTAGTCTATCGTGGATAATTGGACTCCTGTCAGGTCTCGTGACGAATCAGCAGATTTACAGTGACGCCTGCTGTCCGTCACTCTCTCTCAGCCTTCGCTTTAGTGGCTCGACGAGTCGTTTAGTTTGGCATCGGCCCTAACTCATGCCTGCGTGTGATTGGTGCACTGGACGTGACTGCTGACGCTGTGTTTGAGTGTGAGGGATGTTCGCTGAGATGTGCCGATTCTCCAGCAGATGAATGATGTCACCGACACGTACTATTGGCCGTATATTCCCTGACTCGAGCGAGGCGTTGTGTGAGCGGTCGTGAATGTGGACAGTGATGGACAGGCCTCTGGATTGATGCTGTTTGCCTTCATAAGTCCCTCTGTGTGTGTGAACGCTGTGGTCATCTGTGACCGCTCACAAACATCCCACACACTTTATCATTACCGCCGTTTTACCGCCATTCGTAAGTTGAACGTGTCTGGCTGACAGCGAAGCTGTACAAACTCGTCATGCTGTTTGATATTGTAAACTTGTTTTTCTTACCATATTCTTTTAATGTATTGTCGTAATCATAAACCCAGTTTTACTGTTGACTACTTTGATATTCTCTACGGCTGATGAACCGGAAGACATTGACTGAAAACACCTGTAAGGTATAAGACCAAAGTATAAAACCATAGAAGATTCTACGGTAAATATACTCAATTTGTGTGTATATTGAAGTGTGTGTGTTATTGTATTATTTTACATTACACACTCTGGTGTACTTCTCCTTGGTTAATGCGATTATACTGAGATTCAGGCACTATTGTGATTAAACTTGATCTCACATTGTGCTGAAGAAAAGAGTTGACAATATTGAGTGACATGAATTTAATTCAGTATTGATGGTCAAAAACATTGGAATCAGTGTTGGGTAAGTTACTCTAAAAAAGTAATTAATTACTAGTTACTAATTACCTCTTCAAAAATGTAATTAGATTACTGTACTAATTACTCTCTCTAAAAAGTATTTAATTACTTTTAATTACTAATTACTTTCAAAATCCCATAACAATCTCAACCAGCTGAATAATACAAGGATAGACATGAATCTGTTTTAATTCTTTCAAATAAATACTATAAAATTGCATGAATTATCCTTAAACTGACCAAGGTGGAGAAGGTTACATTATAAAAACATACTTTTTAGCATCAGACGATACATTTTGATGTTAAACCCACTATTGTTTTATGTCTGATCTCATGACATTTCACACTTTTTTCATACATATTTTACAATAATTCATACGAATTTGTACGAGTGCGGTCGTGATATTTACCTCATAAAATGCATACGAATCGCTGTGAGATGGGATTGATCTATACACAGTATTTACCTCAATTACATCAGAAGTAACTGTAATTAAATTACAGATAAATAAAGAGTAATCCCTTACTTTACATTTTCAAGGGAAAAGCAATTAAATTACAGTAACTAATTACTTAGGAATTAGTTACACCCAACACTGGTTGGAATGAAGATATTTAAGGACCATAAGCAGAAAAATCCAGTGCATCTGTTTTGCATTTGACACAAGTAGGTTAAAACAGTGGCCAGTCTATCATCATATATCCCGGGCATCAAATAATGCCAGTAAAGATAACCACAATTCTCAGCGAATAATCAGAATAATGAAAATCGTGTGTAAACAGGAGTGAAGGAGTGGTCATGTAAATATCGTACTGTGTTTAAGTGCTCTGATTAATGTAAATGATCCCGTTATCGGTGCACATGTATGGTGTTGGTCGGCTGGATGGACATGTCACATGACTGCGGGATCAATGGAGGAAATGAAGCTCAACGATTGAGATGTACTGGTCAGCGGGAAAGAGAAGAGCATCTGCTCACCACCTGCAGTCACAACATCTCCGGTCTCCATTAACGTCACTCATATCGACTTTAATCAAGTCAGAGGCTCTTTATAGATGCGGACGCTGCCGATCCTGCGGTGAAGACGGCTAATAGAGGAGAGCGGGCACAAACTAGTGCTTTTCACCTCTCCGTTTGTGTAGATCTACTTAGGGGTCAGAGTATTTATGTTCTGCACACATTCATTTCACAAGTCTAGTGCAATTATATGGTTGAGTCTCATTAATATGGTGTATACTTTTTATTTATTAACCCTGAACGGATTTTCATTCTCCTCATATATTGTGTTGATACAGTAAGTTTCGTCATGGTGGCATTTGTGGAAGTATTTAAAACAAGTGTGTGACAACTAGCCCCGCGTAAGTCTGTGGCCCGCTCACCCCCTACTAATGTGCATATTTCCAAAAGCATTCATAACTGGAGATAAGACATGTCATTTTCTTAATATCATTCACATCTGTAAACACAAACGTGTTGCAAACTATCAAATTCAACAGTTAAATAACATAACATTGCAAATGAAGCAAATAATTGTAGAAGTTCCTCACAGAATTATTGCAGTAGTTGTGTTTGCACCGACCTTGCAGAGCGCACACACACACACACACGCAGCAAGCGAAGCGTTGGGGGAAGTGGTGTCTTATTTATGCTGCCATTACACACGTCATATTCACGACTGCGCTGTTTGTAGAAGAGAAACGACGTCGAGATTTAATGACTGTTGTGAAATTGGCGTTGTAAAACTTGTAAAGCAGAAAACTAACAAATACACCGACGCCACAGAAACTGTGGTGATGAACGGGTGTGTGGGGCGTTTATCTGACAGGCGCTATTACCTTTAGGCCATCAGGATGGTTTACAGAGAAGAAAACCCAGAGTGTGTGTGTGTGAGGCTCATCTATCCTGCTAACACACTGCCTGTGTGTGTGTGTGTGTGTGAGGCTCATCTGTCCTGCTAACACACTGCTGTCACAGCAGTCGCTCCGGGCCGTCGTTTGGAGTGCTGCGTCGGAGACTCAGGAGTGAAGCAGGGGCGTAGACGGATGGAGGGACGCAATGTCAGCCGTGTGGAGGCGGACAGACAGATCTGCTGTCACTGACTCTTATTTATCTGATTGTTTTCTTCCTGCTTCGGCTCCTCTATGAATCAGAGCTGACGGGGGAAACACACCGTCATCTGTTTCTGACTCGGTCAAGCTTATGCGTTTCAAGCCCAGTACTGACCAAAGCCAACGGGATTCGACTGCTTTATTTCTGTGGTACTTTAGATTAGTTCATAAACTGGAAAATAACAGAATCAATGAAGCAAACTTTATCAAATATCAGACAAATTCACATTCTGCTGTGAGGCAGCTCTAAAAACTCTTCAATAGTCTTCATGTCAGTGCAGTTATATCATTATTACTGAATAATCATTGTC